TGCCTCAGCCTCCCAAGTAGCTGGGACTATAGGTGCCTGCCACAACACCCGGCTGTGTTTTGGTTGCCGTTGTCATTGTTGCTTAGCAGGGCTGGGCTGGGTTCAAACCTCCCACCCCAGGTGTGTGTGGTCGGTGCCCTGCCGACTAAGCTCCGGGGGCCACCTATTTTTATATATTTTTGAGACATCTACTCTGTTGCCCAGGCTAGAATGCCATGACATCAGTCTAGCTCACAGAAATCACAAACTCCTGGGTTCAAGTGATCCTACTCATGATGTCTCAGCCTCCCGAGTAGCTGGGACTACAGGTGCCTGCCACAATGTTCAAGCAATTTTTTTATTTTTAGTAGAGACACGTTTTTGCTCTTGCTCAGGCTGGTCTGGAGTTCCTGAGTTCAAGGGATCCTCCTTCCTTGGCTCCCAGAGCTATGGTTACAGACCTGAGCCACTGCGCCCAGACTCACTTCCATTTTAGAAGGCTATTTCTTCACTTGCAGGATGGAGACCCACATCCCTACTCTCTAGGGTTGTTGTTGGGGTTAAACGAGTTGCTGTATATAAAAGCTTCTATTATGGCACCTGGCAAACTCCAACAGTCCAGGAATTGTTAGTTCCGTTCTCCCACAATAGAGCAGGGGCCAGATGACTTTCTGTGCTTGGCACAGATTGATCCGAGGGCATCTGGGTGTGATGCAGCCCCTCTAGCATCCAGGGACTTCAGTTCTGGGAAATCTTCTTTATGGGTTTTATTATAATTATTGGATTCCTTTATTCCAGGGTTTCTTGAAGTTGGGGAACATAAGGCCTTTAGGTGTGTGCTCAGTCCTTGTCATAATCCTATAAAGAAAGATATGGATCGGGGGAGGGATAGGGAAGGGGAAAGAATTGGTAGATAAGATGGGTTGGGAGGGGAGAGAGGGAGGGATAAAGAGATCTGTTGTGACAAATTCCTTAGGAGACAGGAAGAGACAAAGGATGGGCCAGTGAGAGCTCTACTTCTCTGCAAGGCAAGGAGCTATTGGCTCACTCCTTTTCTAGCCCTCCCCTGGGGCCAGGCATGCCAGAACTCTTAGATCTCTAAGAGAGAGGGCAGGCACCCAGCAATGGCATGAAAATACCTCTCACTGCTCTCAAGACTTCACACTGCCAGTTTGTAGCCTGTGTGTTGAGTTTTGGTCCAAGCCTCAGTCAGCCAGGTGAGCTAGAGTGAGTGATTGATTTTCTCTAGTTTTCTGTTTCTTCTTCTGAAGAATGTGAATAAAATCCTAACTTGGGCCAGGTGAGGTGGCTGACACCTATATTCATAGCACTCTGGGAGGTTGAGGCAGGTGGATTGCTTAAGCTCAGGAGTTCGAGACCAGCCCAAGCAAGAGCTAGTTCCTGTCTCTATTAAAAATAGAAAAAAACTAGCCAGGTGTCATGGGAGGAGCCTGTAGTCCCAGCTACTCAGGAGGCTGAGGCAGGAGGATTGTGAGCCTAGGAGTTTGAGGTTGCTGTGAGCTATGATGATGCCATGGCCCCCTACCCAGTGCAACAGAGTATGACTCTGTGTCAAAGAAAAAACAAAAAACAAACAACAAACCCAACTCCTACCTTGTCTGCTTACAGTGCTGTCAAGAGGATCCAAAGTGCTCAGTGAGGTGCTAGACAGAGGTGGGGGAGGCAGATAAGTGGGTTCCCTTCCATGTGGACCACAAGGAACACTTGTCCCTCCAGAATCGGGGACCACCCACTTGGAGCCTTGAGTAGTTGCCTTGGCAACCCACTGCCTGGCTACCTCCTACTCCTTTTTCTTTGGGTTTCAGCTTAAACTTCAGTTCTGTGAGGTCTTCTGGACCCTTAGATTTGGTCTTGGGAGAGAGGCTCTTTTTTTTTTTTTTT